GAGTAGAAAGCCTCGTCTCGCTCTCCCAAGCACCGAGCGGCTGGTGGTTTTGAACTGCCAGCCTTATGGTGAGCAGTCTGATGTGTGACCACTACGCCCCTGGGGCCCCCCCATCATAAGAATCAAGATCAGGCCAACGCTGGCTCCCTGGAGGTGAGGACAGCTGTAGTGCTGCTGATCAACCTGCTCACCCTGGGCTCTGCTCGCCCCCCCCCTCCACCCCCTCGGCAGTCTCCAGAGTCACATGGCCTCCTCGCTCGTCTCTGCCTGTCAGCTCCTTCCTTCCTTCCTTCGTCTGCCAACCTCGGAGGCAGGCTGCCTACGTAAACCAAACTCAAATGCCCACCCCAGAGCCACAGAATCCATCAGCACCCATCCCTCCCACGGAGCGGCTGGTGGGTTCAACTGCTACCTGCTACAGGCTACCTGCTACAGGCTACCTCCTACAGGCTACCTCCTTCCTATAGGCTATCTCCTATAGGCTACCTACCTGCTACAGACTAACTGCTACAGGCTACCTGCTAAAGGCTATCTACTACAGGCTACTTACTATAGGCTACCTACCAGCTACAAGTTAACTGCTATAGGCTACCTACTGCAGGCTACCTACCTGCTACAGACTAACTGCTACAAGCTACCTACCACAGGCACCTGCTACATGCTAACTGCTACAGGCTATCTGCTACAGGTACCAGGGCTCCCAGGTAGAAGCAAAATCCTTGGTTCATTTCAGGGCCCAGCCATCCCATCAGGGCCGTGTTTGAGTTGCCCCCCCCCCCTCAGGCCGCAGTGGCTTCATTTGCATACTGCTCTGTCCATCTGCATACTACATTGGCCAATCCCTGCAGGCTTCTGTGAAACCGACCAATCACAGGGCAGGCTGTTCAGCGTCTCTGCGGTCCGTCCGTCCTCTCTCAGGTCACCTGCAGCAGACACTGGGCTGTCCCACCTCTGGGCGCTGTGCTGTTGCTGTGGACACGGGCTGCAAGTGTGCATGGGGTGGACCCGGCTAGGGCCTTCCATGAAGCCTGGGAGGCTCGTTCAGCTTGGCTTCTGCTCAGATCCCCAACCAACCGACTGCCCTTGTCCTCGGGGTTGAGAGGATAACTGTAAGGTCAGCAGTGACCGTCTCTGAAACGCACAGGGCTGTCCTACCTTGTCCTATAGGGTTGCCGTGAGTTGGCGTTGACGCAACGGCCGGGTTTTGAGGCCCTCCACCTCCATGGGGGCAGACACCCCAGGAAGAGAGTCCAGGCCCTAAGAAGACGAGGTAGAGATTGGAGCGAAGGGGCCCAAGGTGGCCCCCAGGGAGGGGAGGGAAGAAGGCCTCAGAGAGGCTTGCCGACCTCTGGACCACAGCCTCTGCCCCCAAGCAGGACTGAGCTTCGCGCAGACAGACAGACAGATGGGGTCTCCACTGTTCTGACCATGAACCTAAGCTGCTCCTTTCCCAGGGGACTCAGAGGGACATCCACCAACCACCTCCGACACCCTGGCCTCCTCTTCTGGCCCATGGCGTCCCTGGCCACACGCGGCAGGCCTGCCCACAGACCTGCTTTGGCCGAAGTGGAGGCAGAGGCTGTGGGGAAGGGTTGGTGCAGGTGCAGGTGCTTGACTGTGCGGGAAGGGTGATGTGGGAGAGGGGTGTGTGTGAGGGGGTGGGGGGGTGGCCTCTGGGCCCCTGTGCCTCAGGAATCTTCTACCCAACTACCCCATGTGATGCATGAAGCGGGAGGGGGGAACCTTCCGGAAGGGAAAGTGCTATGCCAGCAGGCTCGGTCCAGAGTCCAGGGTCCAAGTCTCTGGCGGACTGTTGCATCTCTGTCTGTTGGAGCGGCCAGCAGCACTGAACCGCCGAACTTGCGGCGGGAGCGCAGCCCTGTGCTTAACTCGCTGCACTACCAGACACATTTGGGGTGGGGGTGGGGGCGCAAAGTCCACCCGAAACAGGCCTGAGGGACAGAGAGAGTCACGGAGAGAGGCAGGTAACAGGTAACTCAGGCATCCAGGGGTGGGTCCTGCAAGCCAGGGCTGGTTGGGGTTTTATCCTTTCAGGAGGGACCTGTGCTCCGTGGGGTGGGCTGAGCTGGACTTATTTATTTGGGGGGGGGGCCTGGACTTAAAATAGATCTTGTGTTAATTCAGACCTGGATATGGCATGCTCCCTACTGGTTATCCGCCTCCTCCTCCGTCTTTGCCCCACCCCTGGCCTCTCCAGCAGCGTGCAGTCGGGGAGGCGCAGGAGCCTTGGGCCTAGTGGCCCCAGACCTTGTCAGGGATCTACTACCCTGCAGGTGGCAGATCCAGGGGATGCCCTGGGACTTGGCCTCCGTGTCCGCACATTCCTGATTAACCTAGGGGATCTCCTCCCTGCTCCCACCCCCCCACCCCCTGCCGCCTTTGGCTGGCTCTGCCTAATCCCATCTGGAATTCTCCAGCACCCAGAATCCTGGGCCACATCCAGGCACTAGTGCTGCTGGGCCTGGGGGTGGGGTGCAACAGTCTCGCCTCAACTCACCGAGGAGAGGGGGACAGAAATACCACTCCTCCCCCCTCCTTCGGGGTCGGATTGCCCAACAAGCCAGGTCAGCAGGAGCTGACTTCACAGCCTCCCACCACATCAAAGACTCAGCCTCTTGGGTCTGGCTGGCATCGCGCCCCCCACCCCCACCCCAGTTCCCCCCAGCCCAAAGCACACTGCCACGGAGCCCAGGCCTCTTTCCAAATGCACAGCCCCCGACAGGACCCGGGCAGCAGCCTTTCCTGGTGTCCTTTAAAAATGCTGTTTGCTTTTTCAAGCAGACCGGCTGCAAGGGAGGATCATGATAATCTTCTATTTCCTGAGTGTCTACTATGCTGGGAGCTGGCCAAGCCCCTGGGCTCTTGACACAGCCCTGGTGGTAGTGGGTGGGGGGTGGATCCCAGTCTGGGCAGGCGGCCTGGCCTGGCCTGGTCACTCTCGCCCCCTCCTTGCCCTCCCTCGGCCTGCCCCTCACTCTGCTGGCCGGGGCTGTGGCCTGCGAAGCTGTTTCCTGCTTCTTGGCGCCAGCAGCTATCTGGGGCAGCCGACCTACTCCGGAATCAGACACTGAACGAAGATGAGCAGGGGGCCCTGGTGGACCTCAGCCCGTTTCGGGTGGCTCCCTGAAGCCCACGAGGGCAAGGCTGTGCGTCTCCTTTTCCTTGTGGACTATGCACTGGGCCCGGGTCTCCGCCTGCAGCCCTGCAGCCCGGGGCGGCCTGCAGGCAGGGCTGGGGCTGCGGGCGGAACAAAGGCAATCGGGGTTGAAGAAGGATGCAATCGGCCCACAGGCCCCGCGGCCAGCCAGGGAGGCGAGGCGAGCCCCGGCCTGCAAGGGGGGGTGCAGAGCGGCCTCCGCTGCCAGCGCGCTGGCCGCGGCGTTCGCCTGCGTTTGAATTAGAAGTTTTGGTCACGTGCCCACAAGCAAGATGGAGGCCCTGAGGTTTCCTGCCCGGTTCCAAGATGGCGACGCGGCGCTCTTTGCCTTCACGCCCGATGTGGGCGGCTCCTGCCCGGATGCAAGATGGCGGCAGCCTAAGGGAAGCACGCTTTCGGCCGCCTGACTCGCCACGTACCCACTCTCAAGATGGCTTCCTGAGAAGCCACACGCCACAGGGGAGCTCATTGGCCAAGACGTCATCACGTGGCACCACCCCTCCCCCTTTACACGAGCTTTCTCCTCCGTAACCTTGACGAACGGCCATTCCCACCAATAAGCGCCTGCCGTTCGCCTTGGCCCTGCCTCCCACCGGACTTTGGCCATTGGGAGGGGCCGGCAGGGGGCCGCGACGTTTGCCCCGCCCCCTGTCCCCGGCGGGAGCCAATAGGAAGTCCGCGCGGGGGACGTGTTCGGGCGTCTCCGCCATTTTGTGAGTCTATATCTCGGAGCCGTTGAGTCGGTTCCTGCTATTCCGGCGCCTCCACTCCGTCCCCAACGGGTCTCTTGTGTGTGCAATGGACGGGTAAGTCGTCGCTCGCCCGTCGCCTGCCGCGCTCCTTAC